TTCGGGCGTATTTGGATTATCAACGATAAAAATACATGTAATATGCTGAAAATAAAGCATAATTAGACTTAGAACATTTCAAGGTTGTTTTTATACTTCTGGTAATTTGCCTTGAGAAAATCCCATAACAAACACCATGTAGATTACTGCAAATCGCAGCAAATCTCCCATCACCATTCTGTAGATCATCACGACGAATGGACCCACTGTTTTGAAACCTCTTAATAATAAATATTATCATTAAATAATAATAAATTATTATTAAAATATGTAATATTTTTATGCAACATTTATTTGCGACGACAATAGCCAAATTAGGCAATCTAAATTAAAACTAGTTGGTATTGGTATTTAGCCTTAAGGCAAGTTACATGAACTTTTCGATATGTTTAAATAATCGAATCAATCAATAAATAAAACAAATTATTTTATGAGTGATTAGAAGTATTCCGAGTGGATTTATTACATACAATTGAAAACGAACAAACACGTTAATTCGGAGTATTTTCTAAAAGCAAATTTTCAAATCAATAATTTTTATAATTGAACCAGTTTTCGTAGGACGTTAATGGTTTAGTATGTTCATTAAGACCAAGTAATCTATAGTTAACCAAGTGAATCATCTAATTTTAATTTTAACAAACTTCAAAAAAAACTACATTTTCTCAAAATTTGATGATTTTTTAAAATTAAACTACTTGTCGTAAGGCCGTAATATTTCAGTAAGTCTATAAGACCATGATATATATCGCCAAAAAAGTTCCATAAAAATCGGCTTAATTTTTTTTTTTCGACCAGTTAACTTTACCAAAAACTAATCAGCACGATTCCCAACCAATATCTATCGAACGGTTTTGAATTTCAAAATCGATTCAGAATTGCGGGCTAAAACGTGGACAAAAAATTTTCCACTTCTCTGCGATTTACAAAGAAACGGCCCGGCCGATTGCCGCACAAAACCCTAGTCCTCATCGAGATACATCGAATGGCTTTCAAATTTTTGATCCAGCCGTTTTTGAGAAAACGTTGATTTACGGCAAAAAATCTGTTCACACACATGCACACACACACATACTTTTTCCCAATTTGGTCTCATTCGATTCAGAATGGCTTTGAAACGTCGAGAAAACATAAAATAGCGAATCGGATTGATTTTTTTATGAAAAACAAATCTCCTTCGGGAAGTTAAATATTTTAAAGACCCAGTGCTGTTTATATTGTATTGAAGTTGATAATCCATTCCATAAATTGTGAAATATTTCTCTAAATATTAATTATATTAATTAATCGAAGTAGAAAAGATCAGCTATTTAGTCTAATAAGTTTATGATAATAATTTGTATAAATAATTATATAAAGTTTTTTATGAATTTACCTGCAATAAAGAGAAAGTAAGGAGATGTCGTTAACATAATAACTATTGCGACGTGATCTTCAATCACTTCTAAGCAAAAAAATCTAAATACAGGTAAAGTCATCATCAGCAAACATGAGAATAAAAACAGACTCTTGATGGCGCAGTCATCTAAGAAATAATTTATATTAATAAGTTATAATAGTATTTTTTAAATATATGCATCTATTTGAATTGGTTTTTTTTGTCTTACCAGATTTCAATAAACATTTTATATCCCAAAAACCTAGCTTCGCGAAGGGCAGCTATTATATACATAATTGAACCAATTCCATTAGAATTTCTGCAAACTAATCTGATCTAAAATTTTGCAAACTAAAAGTGTCATATTAATCTATTTAAACATTTAAAGACTTTTAAAGTTACCTTATTTTCGACAGTGTCGGTTGAAGCAATCTGCAATCTGATGAAAAATTTGTAAACCACCATTGCTCAATCTCCAAAGCCACGGAGTAGTTATCAAAATCATCTAAATTTTTGAATATAATCATGTAAAATTGAAACTTAACAACCAGAAGTTAACATGATAAAAATTTTCAAAGTTAAAAAAACTTCAAGTTTTTGGTGCATGACTTGATTGCCAATATTCTCATATACTCCCTTACGATTCTCACCATACAAGTTCCTTATATTAATAGTTTTGCTTGATCAATTTTGGATATTCCATTTTCCTGCGTATAATTTTTCTGCCTCCTAGATTGGTTTATCATCACATCAGTTGGTACAGTTCCAACAAATCGTTAAATTTAACAAAGGTGCCGAATTAGGACTATTTGTCGTATTAGTAGTAATATTATTCTTTGGACTGGCAGTTGTCTCCACAGGAAGAGGTGGACCTGGACGAAGGGTAAAACAAAATAATGATATTACGAAATAAATGCAAATATATACGAATTGACGATAAAAACGTCGTTTGACGAAAGCTTCCCATTTTGTTTTTAGTAGATCTACTAATACGCCATCCATGAGTTCGAGATGTCATCTTTGTCCTGGAAAAAGAAAATCACTTGTATGTTTAATTCTGTAAACTACAAGTGTATTTTTTAAGCATTTTGATCCAAATACAACTTTATTGTACTAATTGTAGTCTTATAATTCTATAAAGCTTTTATCAACTTACCAAAGCTTTATGTACCAAATATGTAGGTAGGAAGAAATAATTTAAGTAAGTTAATTATTAAACTAAATTCTTTCAAAGTCAGAAGGGACAATTACGTAATTACTTAATTCTAATCGTATATTATTTAATAAAATGCATTAAAAATATTTTCACAAAATACAATAATAAAGTACGATAATGTACGTCATGCTCGAAAAATTTAAGAGTTCCTCCTATGGACAAAAATGGTCAAAAAAATTATTTTCAAAGATTTACCGAGAAAATTATACTAATTTGATGTATTATGTCTAGGCATCTATTATTAATCATTTTAATTGTTTTGAATTATTGATACAGTACACAAGTTTTTTCTAACTTATTGTCAGTGATAAGTGTAATTAGTAGTAATAAATAATAATAACTTACCCCGAAAACTACCAAATTCAACGCAGAATCTTTGCTTATATCTCCTGTTTCATTATCAATAGTTCTATTTGACTCAATGGATATGCTGCACAAGTGATACTACCTACAAATAAAAAAAATAAAAATTGAATCCAAATTGAACATAACTTAAAATTTTTTTTTTGAAAATCCATAGAAAAGTATTAACTAAGAAACTGAACTTCTATTATAAGAATAAATACCTAATTGCCAGTAGATTTCACGTTCTATATTAGAATATGAAAAAACAATTCTTTTCGGGCCAATTTGGCAGCAAGTGTAAGAGGAGTAAGATTTAAAACGTTTCGTATACCAATGGCTGCTCCTGATTCATAAACTGTGTCAAACATATCCTATAAAATAATAAAACCATATATTTAATTTTAATATAATATTATGGAGCTTCAATTTTCCTTTTACCAATTTTTCATATATAACCAACATATGTAAAACGTGTTTCCGTTGGTGTCTTGATTATCCGGATTTGCACCGCGCGCCAAAATTAACCTAAATTTTTAAATATAATATTTTAAAATATATTGCAAAGTTTTGAAATTTTCAGACTTTTACTTTAAACTGTAGCATTCTTCTTGTCCTAAACATCCTGCAAAACTTAGTGGATATTCTCCCCAATATACATATCTGAAAAAGGATAATAAAATAATTAAATTGTAAAATAAAAAGAATAAATTTAGTGAAGTGGTAAAATTTATATAGTTTGTTTACGTAAAGTTCCTTTCATGCTTTATCAAAATTTAAAAAAAGTTTAAGAAGGAAATAAGAATATATATATACATCCTGCGAAGGTGTGACAACAAATAAAAAAAGTGAAAACAATAGAGTATTTATCTTAAAAAAATTATCATATGAATGTATTTTTACTTGAGCTTACAATGGACGACATTTTATATATTTAATTTTAATTTAATTTTTCAAATTAATTG